CTCATCAGAAGGCTGAACCCTCAACAGTCTGTAGAATCCCCTCACTGATTACACTGTAAGTGATAATCCACCTTAACCAAAATCAAAGTAGACTATCACTCACCCACACCAGATGGAAAACTCTACAGACTGTCGGTTCACATATGAGTACAAATAAAGATTGAACACACCACCCCGGGAAAGCAATATCAACACCAATCCATTGTTAAAATTTGATCCAGCGGAGATCCACTATCTACTTGAGAAATTCACAAGCAAGAAAAGACTAAAAAGAATAAAAAAACTTGTTAAAAAGGAATCGAAGGTTGAATAGTACTCGCTGTCAGGACGACAGCAACCTCTTTTTTATTAATGCAGTGATGCAGGCCCAGAACGAATGGCATTGCAGGGTCCAAACTTCAAAATCAAACTGAACACCCTACCCTACCCTACCCGCCCGCACAAAAACCCTATCTCTCACCCTAACCCTACCTCCCCCCACATAACCCACAGCATCTTTCTAGATTCGAGTCAGGACGACTCTAGTGAGTCTGTCGAATCTGTCCGAAGAATCTGGACTTCGAATTCAGTGAAAATGTGGCATCAATCAAGTGGCAGAGAAAAGGGGAAAAGAAGGAAAGTCGCAGCAGAAGACTGCTTAAAAAAAAAAAAAAAAAAAAAGCACTGGCCGGCTGCTGTTTGTGACCTTTACTTAACCACAAGGGTGCTATTTGTGACACCTTTACTTAACGAAAGTGCGGTTAGATGATGACAAACCGGCGGACTGCTGCCACTCAGCACCACATGCAGACTGCTTGCGCGATTTGTTTGTTTGCAATTCGGTGCGCCAGGAGAGTTTTTTTTTTTTTTTTTTCTGGTTTTATGAACTTTTTGTGATTTTTTTTTTTTTTTTTCTTTTTTTTTCTTGCTGGATGTAAGATCAGTTGGGGTTAAAGTCACAAATTCAGACTTGCAATGCAAGTTGCAATGCAAGGGAGAGCCACTTCAAGCCTCACTCACGACGCTATCTTCCCCTTTTCGTAAATGCATTTCAGCCTAGACTGAGGCCAGGTGCATCAACCACCCAACAAACCTTTCAGTCACAGCTGAGGCACAGACCGGCCGAGCTGCACGGCGGGAGAAAAAAAAAAAAAAAAAAAAAAAAAAAAAAAAAAAAAAAAAAAAAAAAAAAAAAAAAAAAAAAAAAAGATTAACCACAACTGTTACAGTGCTATTGATCTTCACACCCTGACACGTGGTGGCCAGCGGAAAAAGAAGAACCGAAAAAAAAACAAAAAAAACGATGGACACATTCGACGTATTGGCCGTTCAACCAAACTTTCCCCAAGGACTCTATTCGCAAGATCAGCCTTCGTACAATCCTCACACTAATGCCTGACCAACCAGGCATATGCTATTTACATGCTACTTGGTCCTTTTTTCTTTTTCTTTCTTCTTTTTTTTTCTTTTTGTTGTTGTAAACAGCTCATGCTACTTAAGTCCTCAGTGTCAGTCAGTTAAACGGGCGTTGCGGAGACAGATCCGGTAATCGTGTGAGGTGAGCAGGGGTAGATCTTGCAAAAAGTTTGAAATCAGAGGGTAGGTCTGCTAAAATACCCTTCCCGACTCATTAGGGCCAGGTCTGTCAACGGGTCTTAGAGACTTCCGAGCTTTCATAACAACAATTATATCGATTGTCGAAGCAATTAAATTACGGGCCGACTCCCCATTGTGCTACAATCTCAATTAAATCAGGCGTACGTCTGCATTCCAGGGGTAGCTAAACCACTTGGCAATGCCCAGAAAGAAACACTACACATACAGCAACACACCTCGACACCTACACGCACACACACACAGATATTCCACACATACACAGAGAGAGAGAGAGAGAGAGAGAGAGAGAGAGAGAGAGAGAGAGAGAGA